TGAAGAAACTGTTTGAACGATGAACCTGACAGGCAAGAGGCAAAACAAGATTGAATGCATGCTTGTATGCTCCATCATATGTCTCACTCAATGTTGCCGCATGTGCAGAAGTTTGCTAGGTTGGTGCGGAGCCGGCAGATGCCATTGGATTTGTGGCGGCGTTTGGGAGCATGGTCTGGACGAAATCCACCTTTTGGAGTGGCTGCAAGATGCAGATCATTTGGTTCGATGGAGTTGACCATCCCTCCGTTGACTCGAACAATGCTGTTTGGGACAAATCCCTACAAGACAGACCGGCTTTTGTTACACAGAGGCCGTTTCCTACTAGTACATCCACTGTGGCATGAGTTGGTGCAGGACTGGGACTTGTTGCCTAGTTTTCGCTGCGATTAGGATGGGACAAGACTCCTTTATTCTTCGCCGATTTGGATCACCCAATGCCCTATGATGGCCGCCTCACCAACCTCGAGTTTCCCTTTGTATCCGAAGAGGACCAGGACACAGCTGGCCCTCTCGCAACTCACCAGAGAGCTTTTGGACTGCAGATGATTTGGTGCCATACGTGTTGAATCGTTGTGAAAAGTTGACACGCGAGGCACGCCTGTTTCCAATCCCAATGTTTCGTTGGTTGGATATCGGACTGGTGTGAAAATACCGTACGTTATCTTACGTTTATGTGTTTTCATGGTTTCACATTGGCTGGGTGAGGGGGCAACGCCTTCCACACGTTCTTCATCGAATGTGACAAATAAAGCCTTTTAGATGCGACTGTTGATGAATCTGGTCGGTTTTCATAATCTAACACGGTCAATGAATCTTGGGGCAGTCCTAGAATTCGGATCCCCGTGATTGGTGGTACACTCCGGAAAACTAACATGGACCCAGGTCGAATGGCACAAACTAACAGGATTGTTTTCCTCTACAAGCATAATATAAATGCTGGAAAAACATATTGTGGATTTATATATGTTACGTTGATATATGATGGACCCAATATGTATATCCGGCATTTTCAGAGTCCCAATGTCTCCAGATTCAACATGACTCTCCACAGGGCTGGGTCAGGAGATCCGCCTCGATGTGATCCTCCTGCGGCCGCGCATCAGCGCTGGGCGTTCGGTGTACGTGCGCCGGGGCACCATGGTGTTCGCCGGTGACATGGTGAGGGAGGACCGTGACTGATGAGACTCTAGATTCTAGATTCTATTGGATATCATACGTGATCATATATCCCTGTAAGCACTGCTAGGGAGTTTGAGAATACCCCGTGCATGTTTGCATGTTTCTATGCGTCTTGGCTCGTTTGTCGCATTGATTTTCGGGGGGATGTCCTCTTCCAGGAGCTCTTCGTTTGGCGCGGGGACATCCTGGCCTTTGCTGGAACTGGAGCTCGCATGCTCTATCGAGCCTCGACTGATAGGGTCTGAGTTTGGAATAGGTTCAGCAAACCCGGCCCTGAGTCTTCTACAGTGTTTCACCACCCAACCAGGGAAGATCCGGGTTTTGAGGCAATCTACCAGCTCAGTATTGCTTGCCTTGAAGTGCTCACTGAGGCAACTGCTCCAGCTGCCATGCTGCTGTGCTCCCAGTGATGCAGTCCTCACACTTCCTCAAGGCAAGCAACTCGAAAAGGATTTCTTCCACCAAAACATGGAAGAAGCACACAACCTTCCACGGTCGGCAGTTTTGAGTACCCTTACAACAAGGTGTTTTGGGGCACCTGCGTCACCGGGAAACAGCTGTTGGACAAACATGGAAGTGCAAGATGAACCCGTGGAAGATTTGAAAGACGACTTTCCTCAACATCTTTGATTTTTGTGAGATTCCATATCTGGGTCTGGATATAATACACGGTTGCTGTTTTGGGTTCGTGCATAAAAATCACGCTCCACTGCCGCAGAACCGCAGCGGGGGTGGTCCTCATACCCTGTTCGTGAGGACCATCGATATTCCCGACCCGTCCAGGATTGGGCCACGAGAACATGGGGCCTGGGATGCCCTGAGTAGTCCCATAGGACGCTACTAGGGGCTCCTGGCCGTACTACTAGGAGCAAGAACGCCACTAGGAGCTTTTGAAATGTGTTTCACATGGCGCATTTGGCCACTCAAGGCTCACGTGTTGGGCCCAAAAAGACATCCATCAGCCAGGTGCAGAAGCAAGAGAACATCCAGCTGGGCGGCTTGGCAAAACCAAGAGTAGCCCCAACAACTTACTTGATCAGCCAGCCTGAACAGACGAGCTTTGTCGAAGTTGCAGCACCCTAAATCCCTAGGTGGGGTGTAGCCGACAGATCCTCATCGTCCAAGTCGGCAGGGCACCCGCCCTTCATGTTTCCAACGCCAGGCGCCACCCTTCCCAGGGCCTACAGCTGGTCAGCAGAGCTCGCGCCCATGCGGTGCCGATCGACCGGCCGCTCAGCTGGCAGTGCATCGATGCAAGTGTGTAGAAGAGACAAGGAGACCTCCCCAAAGACCTCCAAGAACAAACCACCATCCAAAACCCCTTGGTTGGGGGCCTCCCGGCCTCCATCCGGCCTCCCTATTTTCAATACACCCAGGATCTTTGGTCACCTTGCATTGGCTGATACCTTGCGATGCCTTGCCCCAAAGCCATCCTTGTAGGAACAGGACATTGTTTGATCGTTGCTGTTGAACAATCGAACTATGAGAAGCCAGCCGTCCATGGCCACTTGATTGGGGGCACAATGAAACAAATTCTTGAACTACTTTACTCTTTACATGCAAGGCTAGATAGCTTTGGTTTGTTCCATTTTCTCGGCACCCAGCACTCGGCTTTGTGCAAACAGGTCTAAGAGTCTAGGGTGCACCACCCACTCTCCAAAGTCTCCTCCATTCTCACCATTTTCCATCCCAGGCTGGCATCCTCCGAGCGCCCCTTTGCCGCCCCGACGCCCCGCGCGCTCACCCAGCAGCTCGGCAGCGTCCTGCACCGGTCATAACTGGGTGACGCGCAGCTGCCGCTTCCGACGGATGTGCGGAGCCTCGAGAGACAGCAGTCCGACATGGGGGAAGGGGCCATGCCTCCATCTGGCGAAAAGGGGAGGCGGGCCGCATGCAGCATGCCTTTGCTGGGTTTTGCCATGTTTTTCGTTGCTTTTTTTTAGATCATGGTTGAACATGGGGCTCCTGATGGAGGATGTTGATCGCCCGCGTTGAGTCTTTGCTCAGGCACCAGCACAGTGGGAAGTCCTTTCTTCTTGTGCTCCAAAACAGGCGGATAGTATGCATCTGTATACATACACCGCCGTGCCTTTTCCAAAGAGGGAACCCTGACCTAGTGTCATGAGACAGATATGTGTAGCATCCTTGCTACTAGGACTAGGAGCAAAGGGCATCGCTACTAGGAACAAGGGCGCTACTAGGGGCTCCTGGCATTACTACTATGAGCAAATAGCTATTAGTAGCATCCTTGCTACTTCGTTTCTTGGGACTCAAACCCGGAACCCTGACCTGTGCGATCGCCGAGGTGCTACGATGTCGAGGCGGAAAGTTTTGAGTTCTATGGAGGCCCAAGCAATGACCTTAGCGGCTATAGCGAAGACCAAAGCAGACAGACTGACATATGTCTATAGAATTCGATAGAATCAGAGTCATTCTGAGTCATAAAATGTCTATTGGAGGTGTTGGCTGATTGGATGATTTGACGTATTTTGCCCAAGAACATGGCCCGAACAACGCCCAGCTGAACGCCCAGCTGCGCCTCTAGCTGCACCTCTGGTGCCGGACCCGAGGCGAGGACTACATGGTGGGCCTCTCGATGTTCAGCGATAGCCGCATGACCTGGAAGCCCAATCTGGTGGAGGCTCGCTGGCGTGAACCCGAAGGGTCCGTGCCAAGTCTTGAAGAGGAGCAAGATGGAGCAAGCATGCTGACAGGTGACTCTTGACGTTCTTAATTCCGTCATACCGAGACATCCGTCATACTCCGTGATTTTCCTGGATTACTATTTGTGCATCACTTTCTGTTCCATGACTCGTACCCCTACATCAGGCCCAAGACCTCCACGCGCGGCGTTGGTTTGATTCGGTCTCGGAGGCTCGGGAGACGGAAGCATCTTGGATTGACGTGCCCGTGTATTTGGCCATGAGGCAGTCTGCAAGAGCGCTCTCGTTCGCCCGCGGCCACTCAAGTGACGGGGTCGCCGTCACTGGCCGTGGTCGTCTTCAGCGGTGTAGAGGAAGTCAGGCACGGATCGGATGGAAGTTCACGATGCCAGGCACGCAGCACACAATTGGGGTCACCATGCCGTGGAGATGCCTGGCATGGATTTCGGGTCGGAGAGTCATTGAGGAGGAATGCTATCAAGGTAGGCATGCCAAAACTGAAGTGGCCTGTGCCATATTGTGGCATGGCATCATGGCATTGCATGGCATTGCATATGGCATGTGACAAGGACTACCTTGGCACTCTATGCCCTCATCATGTCCAACGAGGATTTGAAGGACACCGAGAAGGGAGGATGCATGCACGGGTTTTTGCAGCAGATGCAGTTCTTTCCAGATGAAGTTTGGAGATCAGATCGCCAAGTCGCCAAGTAGATATATATATATAATATATATACAACTGGCACACCATATATAGTTTATGTTTGTGATCCGGCAACGGGCACCGGCAAGCAGAGCTTTAAAGACAAAAACATACAAGAACTAGACTAGACAGACACCAAGATACAGCAAAAGAAAAGCAACACGGTATCATCCGGTATCATCCGCTTTGCCGTGAGGAAGTGCATGGTCGCCGTTGGATCTTCTTCCTGGACGACTGTTCCCTTGAGCTCCAAGGCGATTCCATCGAGTTCTGCATGCAGTTCGTGCCGAAACCCATCAACTGCATCCAGGAGATCCCACATTTATGCGCACCTGGGGCGTAGATCAGCGAACGGAGTGTGGAACAGTAACCCTAATGTACCATTACTGTACCCATACAGTAATTTACAGATAATTACAGTAAGCCTTTTTGCACTTGAAGTTTGAACTGTTGGAGGCCACCTGTTGGGCCAAAAAGTCCACCTGCAGCGTTTGTTCGGAAGATCGTTTTTGCGCTGAGTCCAGCTTCGTCTCGGCACCGGGCACCACTGAGGCGAAGTTCACCCAGCAGTTGTGGCCCTTGCTGACCGACTGGGCCCCCTTGGAGCAGAGGGCGATCCAGCCGCGCTTGGGAGCGACCAGGCGGTGTCGCCCGCGCTCAACGAAGCGGATGGAGAGACAGGGACCAGTTTTGTTTGTGAGCTATTGGGAAATGTTGGTCCAATGGGCTGTAGCATTTGTGGAGGAGTTTGAGGAGTGTTGAAATCACCGGCCAATCAAAAGAGGATGGTGCTTTGATGACTACAGCTGGTAGGCAGGCCATTCTAAGATGGCCCGCTGGGATACCCAAATTGGAACTCGAGCCACCGGTTGGTACCTGGTTGTTTCCCTTCAAACTGTTTGCATCAGATCCTATTCTGAAATGATATTCTAAATGATATTCTATGATGTTCTTTTTTTGAGGGCTCCTTTGGAGGCGGGCAGTTTTCCTCCCACACGGTTTGTTTGAAGAAATTGATCGCTCCATCATCTTCATGAAAAAAGAACGACCTTGTTCCTAGTAGCCATGCCCTTGTTACTAGTAGCTTCTTGCTACTAGTAGTAATAAGGCCAGGAGCTACTAGTAGGGTCCTTGCCACTAGTAGTAATGCCCCGTTTGGATCCTCAAGTGACGCTTTGGATGTTTTGCCTGGCCTCTCCAGGATGCTTTGCTTCCACTCCCTCGTTGCTGGGATGGCTCCCTGGCGCCGTCCCGTGCAGCTGCAGGCGCACCAAAATACCAAAGCACAAGGGATGTGAAGGGATTGTTATTAGTAGCGAACATTGTTCCTAGTAGCGATGCCAGGAGCCCCTAGTAGCGTCCTTGCTATGTGAAGGGAGGATGTGCAGGAGCACAATGCACACTAAAGGCACAAGTGGCAACCTTGGCTGGTGGTACTTGTAACCAGTGGTGTATTTGTAGTGTATCTTTGGGTTGTTTCTAATGGTGCAGGGTGGACTGTGAATGAAGCCAGGTGCCTCCAACAAGATTTCTTTCCCCACTACTGACTACTGTAATTGTTTTTGTTGTCCGTGTGCTGTTCTCAGATGCCAGAGCCATTCAACGCTGGGCTTGACAGAGCCAGATAACTTGGAGCCACTGGGTGACCCCGAAATGAGGGACTGGGGATGAGGCTCTTGGCACTGAAGGAGAGTCGTTCATACAATGGATGAGAGACACCAACGAACTGTAATGGTTTGAAGGTTGCACCATGTTGCACCCGTTGCGAGCCCGATTGATCAGGACCACGAGAGAGCGCGATGGTGGAAATCACATGAAAGCACCCCCCGTGTTTCATGGGAATGTTTTGTGCTTAGAGCTTATGAGCTTGGGACTGCCATGCTTGCATTTTCTAACAGATCCCTCTTCCCATTGACAGCAATGTGGTTTTCAATCAAGACCAGTTCAAAACAGTTCACATCGGTTGATGAGTGCTATGTTCCGCTTCCACATTTGGATGGCGTTTGCCTTTTACATTCTCTACTGAAACGGTGTTGTCCATGTGACTTGGAGTGAGTGGATTGTGCTTCTGGGAGGACTCGGAGGGCCGGGCTCTAGCACAGCAGGACTGAGGGGAAGCTCGTGCGACCGAACTTCCCCTTTCACTCCCTTTCTGTAAGACTGTCAGAGGCTTTTAAGAGAACCCTGGGCAGACCCCAGGTTTACAAGGTGTTTCTATCGATAGTATATCTCGCAGGCAACGCCCCTACAGAAGGTGAAAGTCTGTGCAGGGTCTTACTGAAGTCTTACTGAAAAAGAGTATGTTGGTCATCCTAGACAAGCATTTGCCTCCAAACATTGTGGTGCCCGGGCCCTTTTCTGGAACCCAGTTTTCAAGTAGTCAACCCTGCAGGAGTGGGCGGCTGATCCCCTTTTTGCTCCAGTGATTCGACACTTCCAGGCGCTGCCATTGGTTCCAGCAAGTGTGGGCTGAACGGATGTCAAAGCTGACCACGCGAAGTGGGTTTAAGAAGCAGCTAGTGGGTTTATAACATCCTTCCACTTCAAATGAGGGCTGACTGCCACCTGGAAGAGGGTGGTATCGTTCCCTGGAGGATTCTTTTCCATTCATGACGGATGTGCTTTTGGTGATTGCTGCCCATCAACTGAACATGGGCCGTTCACTGCGTCCTTGACTGCCAGATTCATAGATTCCTTGTAAGTTTGATGAAGGGATGGGACCCGCGGCACCTCTAGATTATGGCTCAAACTGTGCAGTAGTTGTGGTGGAAGACTCGCAAAAAATAAACATAAGAATCGACAATGAACCACATCAACTACACAGCAAAGTTCCTCAGATCGTTCAATCGTCCTTCGCTTCCTGTCCCCAACCGACGGCCTCAAACGGCATGCCTTCTAATTCTATGCATATATCCATTGACATTATAAACCATAGCTTCTGATTATTTTTGCGCAGAACGCAACGCCCCGACCGTCCCACCATAGCCCAACATGGGGGTTGCCTAGCTCATCCAGTGGCTCCCAGCAGTTCAATCGCCCGGCGTTTTAAGCGACGGCGGCTGATGGCAGGGCAAGAGGCCGGTGCTTCGCGGAGATTGCGTGGTTTCGTTCTGCGGAGACCGTCCAAATCGGAACCCGTCCAGGATCCGCCGATAGAGCCCAGTGCGGATTCCATCTGCAATTTCAATCCGGTGGTGGGTCAACATGAACGACAAAAAGAGTCTCCACAAGGGTATAGAGGCGTTTATATATTCTGTTACATTCCAGCCTGGGTTGAGAAAAAATCGGAATCATCATAGAATCCCCCAAGGGCATTTGGTGGAAATGACCTGAACTTGGCCATTTGCCCGTTTCTCCTGCCTGGTGAGGCGTGGCCCACCAGCGCTGGCGGCACTGGCCACCTGGATGCAACACCAAAAGGGCACAAACCAACAGAAGAAGCTCATCCGGTGGAACTTCGCACATATCACGAAAGCTAGTACCAGCTAGCTGGAGTTGTCCTTGCTTTAGCAAGTGAGGGGCTGGAATCCTCGGGATCGCCGCATCACGTGAAAATTTGGGGGGGCCCCCCGTCCCCCCCCCCCGTGGGTTCAACTCCCCCCTCGGACGCCTCTGGGACACCTCTCGGGCATCTCTTATGGCATCCACTTTGGCTTAACTCCTCCGGGATACGGTGCAACAGATTCAACAAGCTCACATGTTCGTGAACACATCGGATGCATCGAACAATGTGGCAAAGTCCAGCCACGCTTCCTTAATTATCGGGGACTTCAATTCTAAGGTTGGCTGTGTCATTGCTGTTTGTGTGTCTTACATGTTCACAACGTTTTACCTCATGAGCATTTTCCTCACTCCGCTTGATGTCCCACAAGTCCGGATGCACCCCTGCTAGCTTTCGTCACCTACCCTCGGCCTCAAGTCGGGCTTGCTAGCGGCACACGGTTAATTTCATTGTAAGGTCGTATCACATATTGTGTGTGTGTGTTGTGTTGTGCTGTGCTGTGCTGTTGGGTTTGGTGTTTGGTGCTGCTTTGGTGTTTGTTTGTGTTTTTGTGTTTAGTTGCTGTGTATTTGTTTGTTTGAGCTAAACTATATAAGAGCAAATCAGGGTTCGCAGTTGGCCATAAGAAGCTAATTAGTGGCAGCCCTGACCCAGACCACTGATTTGGTGGCGGAAACATTCAAAAGCGGCCCTAGCGAGGGACTACATCGTAGTGGTGGTGACTAGACTAACGTGAATGGTGTGCTTCGGCGAGTTTTGCAAACTCAGGTTTGGAGCATGGCCAGGACAGGAATGGCACCCTGACCAGTCAATAGTCCATGTTACAAGTTCCTCAATTTGTGCATCATGAATCACAGATCAAGAATGTGCAAGAGTGCCAGAAGGCAAGCATTGTCCAATCGCTGTTCGTTTTGGAGTGTCAGAGGAGCAGCAAGCCCTTCTCTTAGCAGGAGGCACAATTTATTGGAAGAACTTGGAAACAGTTTCAGGATGTGCTGCGGTTTTTGAATATATGTGTCGCCGCTGGCCTTTCGCCGCCAGTCACAAGTTGCGTGCGGCGGACAAACTGAATCGGCTGCCCACATCACCTGCCCACATCGGAACCCAAGCACTCAACGAAGCGATGAAAAAGTACCAAAGTTCTTCGGAGTGGTTCAGATAGGCCTTCCAATATACAAAGGGCTTGAGTACAATGAATGTGTCTCTAGGATTTTTAATCAGCTTGGGCTCCTTGGGTGGCCCTGATATGGGACCTGACCTGCCATGGCTGATGATCAGCGCAAGGAGAAGGCTGGGAGCCCTCTCTTTGGCCAGCTCCACACCTGCAAGGGGGCCTTTGCTAGCCGGAAGGGTGGCCGACTGGTTGCTCAACCCCATGCTGATCTGCAGACACCTCGATCACCGTGGCCGCAGGACACGGTGATCGATCCAAGACATTGGGCCTACTGGCGGATGGATGGAAGGGCCTTCGTACAGACTGGAAAGGTCCGGACATGTCACTCCAGATCCATCGGCGCTCTTTGGCACCAGAAAGACCTTAGGGCACACCTGCAGCTCTCCGCTGCCCCGAGAGGACCTCGAAAGGACCCGGCCCTAAAGCCTGCCGGGAAGGAGGAGTATGAAAAGCGAATGCGATATGTGACGGACGACGATGCAGTACCAAACTGGCCGGAAGCGGGTTGGCTGCCTGAAGATTGGCGGATTGGCATGCGCGCGCTACCAAGTGGTTTGATGATAATCTTCGTTCCGCCTAATCAAGAAGAGGGCTTCTTCTTCCACGGATCCCAAGTGCTGGAGTACCTTTCCGGAGGAAATCCCTTCTACCACCAGGGAAGAGCGCTGCAGTCAGCCGAGCAAGAGAAGGAAGTGCAAAGCCACCAATGCATCTTTGGCCGACTACTTGGAAGTGAAAGACTGTTCGATTCTGAAGCTGCCAACCTCCGGGAAGGAGCTAAAGTCCTTTGGGGTAGATGGCAAGAAGCTGGCTGCTCTCTCTCCAGAGATTGAACAAGGCCTGTGGCGCAGGACATGGCTTGCTCATTCTTATATGTTCTTGTTGTCGTCGTCGGTGGGGTTACCTAGAATTGAATCCTTTTGAAAGGGAAGACCGCAAAAGGACCCCAAAGATGTACTGTATAGTGTACTGTATATACCATATAGTAACCGTTGTTTATGGTGTCACGTCCGTACGGGCCCCCGTGAATTTGCACGTTTTTGAAGCAGACAGGGTTCCAACAGTCATTCAGGGGTGGGGGAGTGG